GAAAAAGATAGGTTTATAGATAATCTATAGCCTAACCTTGCCTCTCCCTTTAAACCCAAATTTAAACCTCTATTTTTCAAGGATCATTTCCGATCCACCCCGAACTTTACCCCCATTTTCTGCTCATCCGAAGATAATCTTCGGTGTCAGACCTGTCAAAAAACGGTGCTTAAAACTTCTACAAATCGTTATCACCTCCAGAAAAATCCCAGGCTTACTTCTGCGCCCCCCACCCTCCGAGACAATACGTGACCCTCGGAGGGGCATCGGCACGTGCCCTCCCCCCTTCGAGTTATCGCAACTTTTACTGGCCATTTTCCGGAGTGGAGCTTGTGTTTAATTTTGGGATTATTGATCGAAATTCCCTATTGGATCTGACCCCTAGACTTATATGGATTTAGGTTTAGGCTTGGGCTTAGGCTTAAATTTTAACTTCGCGCTTGAAGCCAACTCGTGGCGAGGAACCTGTCGACCTCTTGCTCATCGTGATCTCATGCTCATTCACGTACCTGCTATTTGTATGTCGTCTTTTTCACCTTTCTGGATTTTGGCTATGTTTGAGGCCAAAGACCAGAATTTTACGCAACCATCAGCTAGTTTGCGAGGTGTTCCGGGCGGTACTTTGGAATGCCGGCATTCCACAAGCCATATTTGTTTGTCGGCATTCGAAAACTCGACTTTACGACACTCCTACTGTCAAAATTTCGACGGTTTTCCATCTTAAAAGCACCATCCCATGCCTCCTGAATTCCATAGTACACTCCCTGACGCTCCATCCGTTTAAAACACTACGAGACTACCCGGCCGGGCTGTTTGTTGGGGTTTCGGAGGTCGCGCTGGTCGGGGGTCGAGGCCAATTTCCTGAATTCTGAAATCCCATCTGGGCAAAAGGGCCTCAGGGCTCGATTTCCGAGTACATACAAAGCCACCAAATCCCATCCTACCCCCCACCACCCTCGCCCTATTGGCGGTAGTTTAAAGGGGGTGGGACAGATCGGCTCGACATATCTTTAGCTAGCTCTGTCTCTCGCTCTCTCGCTTCCAGTATGTCTCTCCGTCTCGCTCTGATCTTCGGCATGCTAGCAGAGATTTTTTGAGACCGGGCAGGCTAGCAGAGGTCCTTAAGAAGATCCGACGATGTCACTGACCGTTCACTCTCTCGCTCGCTCAGTCTCTCTCCCTGTCTCTCCCTTCTCTCCCGCTCTCGCTCTCTCTCTCTCTTTCTCTCACTCTCTCTCTCTCTATCTCTCTCGCTCTTCTCTCTTTCCAAATTTGTTGCAACCCGAAAAAACCCCCAAGAATCAGCGGCTTATCACCTCCCAAAAAAATGCAGAAGCCGTGTGTGGCAAAATTCGCAATTGGCGGCCATTTTGCGGTTTTGTGTAGCAGCAGCCGTAGATGCTAGGTGGTTGCGGCGGAGTGTGGCAGAGATAAGTGCCGCCAAATGATCCCCCCGTCCATGGGCCCCTGCAAACAAAGGATCTCTTTCCATCTTTTTGCCATATTTTTCGGATCTTTTCCGAAAAATTCCGCAAAGCGCCAATCGACGACGGCATTCACCCCAACCCCCGTTCGCTAGCTTATTCAATTTCATCTCGAGCGCCTTGGCAATGACTTCATTTTGGGATCGGGTTCTTTCAGGGCGTGGCTTAGGCTTGGCTTTGGTTTGGCTTGGGCTTAGCTTAGGTTTGGCTTGGCTTAGGCTTTGGAATGGCGCAGGCTATGCTCAGGTTTGGGCTTGGCCCTCGCCTCTCTCTCTCTCTCTCTCTCTCTCTCTCTCTCTCTCTCTCGCTCCAGAGACACCAAAAGTCATGAGATGTTGCACTCGGAATGCAAAAGGAGATTAGGGCAGCATTTCCTCGAGCCAGCCATATTAATTATACCCCGGGGCTACCAGATCATTCCCCGAAAATTACCCCCGCACGGAAATCGCAAGAAAAAAGAAAAAGGGCTCCGGCTGGGCCCGCGGTGCACTCAATAACGTTCGCCCACGCTTTGTTGCGAAATTTGAATGCCATATACCGCTACACCTTAGAGCAGGAGGGATAGATCGAAGGAGAGAGGAGAGAGATAGAAAGAGAAAAGAGAGAGAGAGAGAGAGAGAGAGAGAGGTAGCTGCAAAATCTGGGAGTTTCTGTTTTTTCTCCCGTTTTCACTCTCTCTCTTTCTTTCTTTCTCTCTCTCTCTCTCTCTCTCTCTTTCTCTCTCTTTCGCTCCCTCTGACTCTAACTCTCTAGCTGGAGGTTGGACCCCGAGCTTCTTCTCCTAGTGGGGCCAATTAGGAGAAGCTTAGACGCAACACTCTCCTTCTCAAACTTCTAGAGAGTTAGAGAGAGAGCGAGAAAGAGAGAGAGAGAGAGAGAGAGAGAGAGAGAGAGAGAGATAGCCTGGGTAATTAGGGTCACGTTTCTTTTTACGCGCTTTTTGTCCCGGAGGGGGAATTATTCTGCAACACTCGTCGTAGTTTAGCGTTATTTGATTCTATACTTAAAAATTTCGGGATATCACCGTGCCTTGCCTTCCAAATTCTGTCGATATTCCAAGAAAATTAAGATAAACTGGTAGAAATCCCCAATTCCTGAAAGCCAAGCATTGTGTTTTATGCTATTTCTGCCTCTTTTTTGCCAGTTAAAATTCATTAAAAAGTGCTAATACAATCAATTCGCGTGCGCTCTTTTTAGCCCCTTGGGGCCCCTAGGGGATTGCCTTGCAAAATTCCCACGGTCACCTGATTTCTTTTGCGTTTCTTTGAAGATAGGAAAAAACAGCTGATTTTTTGGGTTTCGGCGGAGATCTAACATGTTTAATAAGATTCCGGTTGTTTTAAAAGCTTCCCAGGCTTGCTTCGCCTGCTCCCTAACTCTAAGTCTAACCCTAAGCCTAAGCCTAGCCTCAGCCAAATCCTAAAACCAAAGCATAGGCTTAGGAGCAGGCCCCGCCCATCCGCTCTGACGTCTCCAGGATAGTCTCGGAAATTAGACCCAAAAATACCTTTCAAAATAGCATGTGCACCGATTTTCCGTATCACCGCACACTGGCAACATCTTGGCCCAGAAGTGGACCCAGTTGGCTGCCCGAAAGAGGGTTCGGAAATTGCCCTCGTTTCTAGATTCTTACGTCTTTTCGGGCCCTTGTTTTTGCATTTGCCTTGTCTCTCTGCTCTCTCTCTCTCGCTCTCTCTCTCTCGCTCTCTCTCTCTCTCTCTTTCTCTTTCTTTCTAGCTCTCTTTCGTGGCATTTTTTTGAGAGAGGGCTGTGAGGACGAGAGAGATAGAGAGGGCGAGAGATAGTGAGAGCGAGAATGAGAGTGCCAGAGCGACAGAGCGAGAGAAGCATCCAGGCATAGAGAGAGCGTGAGAAAGAGAGAGAGGGAGAGAGAGCCCGAACACAATCTGCAAGACGGCCATTTATTGGAACTCTCTGGAGTCCGTTTTGCTCCTTTCGACACTACTCCACTGGAATCCATCCTCCACCGCAAATATCATTAACCGCGGCCGCAATATTACCCACGTGGGGTGGGTCAGGCTCGAAAAATGCGTATTCCAACACCTCTAAGAGCTCTTGGATCATTCTTCGAGCACCAAGCATTAATGTTAGTTCCATTTTTTGCATAAAATTTTCAATAAAGGATTTAAAAAGCGGTTTTTCTTCAATCCCTCCTCCCAAAGATCAACTTCCTGCCTCCGCCAGTTTTTGTAGTGGTGCAGAAAAAGAATTCGCGACCTCGTTCGGGGCCAAAAAATGGCAGGTGGAATTGGGGTAGAGACTCTGGCACCACAGCTTCTTGACGCATTAATGACGTTTGGTTTTGGAGGGACTTTTTCCTTTGACTTCTGTAATTTTCTGCCATGAAGTTCCGAGTGTTTCCGTGGTTCTCCTGCGGCCTCGCCCATTTCAAGACCGCGTCATTTGTGTTGGGTGAATTTAGGTATTTGCTGCTTGGGGGGGGGGTTGAGGGATCGAATTTCGAGTCTACTGCCCCAAGAACCGGTCTCGCCATCGGTTAACCGTGTCGATGTTATGCGGTTTTGGAAATGCCTAATCATATAAATTTAAATACTACATTTGTGGTATATATCGGCTAGACTACGCTACATTACGCTATTCTGCGATCCGTTGTGCTACCATGATTTACGCTTCGATACGTTCTCTTACGGTTCGCTACGGTGGGCTGCGATCCGCTTCAGTGCACGCTGCGATAAAATAAGTTACACAACGCTACGCTACGTTACCACACATCAAATTCCATATGCTACGCGAATCTTCGATACGCTTGGCAACGTGGCGCTACGGTTTTATCCGCTGTATGTTTCCTTCCGTAATGCGGAGTTACGCTACGCTACCTTGTTCTACGGCTCGATGCGCTTCGATAAGTTACGCTACGATACGTTACGTTAAGCTACGCTACGATACGTTAAGAGAGAGGCTACGAATGCCTAGACGCTACGTTGCACTACGATACCTTACTTAGAACTACGTTTCGTTGCGCTGCGCTACGATACGTATGAAGCGCGCTACATCGAGCTGAACCACGATAGAATACGCTACGTTGCGCTACGTTATGCTACTCTACCTTACGCTACGCTACGTGACGCTAACTGACGCGTTACGATGCGCCATATTGCATCTATTTGTGTTCTAACCCTTGTCGTTTTGTTGATGCTCGTGTGTGGGTCAACCCGGAAAAAATGTCATGGGTGGGGGGATTAGGAAAATAATCGGTGTGAGTGTGCGGGCAGTCTGCTGGCTGATAGCCAATTTTAGCACCTCATATGGGCGCCTATTATCTTTACTGGTCGCGGCGTCTTGGCTCGCTTGCGAATTTAATGGCCACGAAATTGTTATGGATTTTGCAAGTTTTCTAGCAAATTTTTACTTTTTCTCATTTTTTAATATTTTTCCTGGCTTCATCACCAAGCCATATTTTTTCTTGATTTCTCCAAATTTTTGCATCCTTTTCTTTTTATCTTTTTCCATTTTTTCCCTTTTGCAGCCCGTCCCATGACCGACTTGGACTCGTTGCTAAATGGGACGGCGGAAACGACGATATTCCCCAACGTGACGAACGCCATTTTTGAGGACGAGTTCTGTCCAAATGATCGCTCCCTGCTCGATGAGCCGCAGATCAGGTAGCTTGGCTTGAGACTCTGAAACCTAGCCTACGGTAAGCCTTAGCCTAACCCTAAGGCTAAGTTACGCCCAAGCCTAAGCCTAAGCCTAAGCTTAAGTCTAAGCCTAAGCTAAGCCTAAGCCTAAGCTAAGCCTAGTCTAAGCCTAAGTTTAAGCCGAAGCCGAAGCCTAAGCCTAGCCTAAGCCCAAGCTGAAGCCGAAGCCGAAGCCGAAGCCTAAGCCTAACCTAAGCCTAAGCTAAACCTAAGCAAGGCCTAAGCCTAAGCTAAGCTTAGCTAAGCCTAAGGCTAAGAACCCTTGTTTCAGATACACGTTCTGGGCGCTGTACATCCTCGTGTTTTTCGCCTGTTTGATAGGTGAGTTACAGCTTTTATACTGTGTTATAATATTTTAGTCGGTTCTTGTAAATAATTTATTTTTAAAGGTTTTGGATTTTTAGCAAATTTTTACGTATTTAGGAAATCTTTTTACAATGCTCGTCCTCTGCACCCATCCCCAGATGCGGACGCCCACCAATTTTTTCCTGGCCAATTTGGTGGGTTTGTTAAACTTTTTATTCTTTTTGTATCTTATTGAGATTCTTTTGTGTTTTTAGATCTTGAGAATTTAGAGAATTCTACAAATTAAATCATTTATCGAATAAGCATGCAAATTTAGGCGGGCGCTGACCTGCTCGTCGCCCTGTTTTGCATCCTCCAGAATATGGTACACATCGTTGGCTACGAGAATGGACGCTGGTTTTTTGGTGGGAACTCGAGAAAAATATTCTAAAATGTCTAAAACCCGCAAAAAAAACATTTTTGAATTTCTAGCAATAAAAAATTAGCAAAAACACCAGGGTTGAAAAGCCGCTTCGCGTCTTTTCAACCCTGGCCCCCGTCTAGTGTCATAATATGCTTCATTTTGCATATTTCTCGCGAATGCCGATGACAAAAAAATGAAAATCTCTCCCTCCGCCCATTATATAGGCTCGCGCCATTTCCGGCATATGCTAATTAATTCCTAACAAAGTGGGTGCTCCATTTTCTAACAAAAACTTAATTTTAACGTCGAAAATAGCATAATTTGTAAAATCTGATGTGTGTGCAGTCATCTCAGCGCCATTACGCACCTAATGACGTATCATACGTTGCTTATAACCCTTTCCCTCTCGAGATATCTTCCGGACACCCTGACGGAAGTTGCATGCAAAGTGGCACACACACACAAACACACAGACACTATTTTTTTATATATAGTAGGATAAATAAAAACTAAATAGCGCTTTTTGAAATGTCCCTCGTCCAATTTATGCAAATTCAGGCGAAGTAATCTGCAAGATCTACCTCTACGTGCTTCATATGGTTCCGTGCACGAGTGTCGGGTAATTTTGAAGATTATTACGGATCGTAAAATCAAATTTTTAGGATTTTGATGTGTGTTTCGATCGAAAAGTACATTGCTGTACTGCATCCGCTCGTCGCATTAAAGGTAGGTCGTTAGGCTTAGGGTTAGGCTTAAACTTGGGCATCGGCTTGGCTTAAACTTGGGCTCAAGCTTAGCTTAGGCTTGGCTTAAACTTGGGCCTAGGCTTGGCTTAGACTTGGGCTTAGGTTTGGCTTACGCTTGGCTTACGCTAGGCTTAGGCTTGGCTTAGCCTAGGCTTCGGATTGGCTTAGGCTTCGGCTGAGGCTTACGTCCTCATACCTACTTTCCAGATGCTTACCAAGCGACTTCGCATCATGCTGGCCATTAGTGTGTGGACAATCTCCCTAATTGCAAATTTCCCCTACCTACGCACCGCCCATCTCTATACGTGGGGCAACGTCTCCGCGTGTGGACGGAACGATACGTTCAGGTAAGGTCTACGGTAGCATCAAAACGTCCTTAAATCTAGGCAAGACGTGCTGGTGATCACCTCGTTCATCTTGTGGTATCTAATCCCGGTGCTGATGATGGCATTCATTTACACGCGAATTGGGCTGGTGTTGTGGAAGAGTGGGCGGGGCGTGAGCAACAGGGCCAGCACTGGTGGGTTATTGGAGATGAGCCTCAGCCAAATCTATGCCGAAGCCTAAGCCTAAGCTTTTGATTATACCTACGTTTCAGACTCCCAAGTCTCAAATGGCGGCGCCTCGTGGCATATGAGCAGCGGCCGGGTGATCGTCTACCAGCAAAATAGCTTACTACAGGCGCGTTTTCTCTGTGGTAGTATTGCTCTATAGTAACGTACAGTACTGTACGCTTCTGTACGATACCCTACGTACTCGTACGTTGTTTTGTATGATCTGGTACGCTATCGTACTTTTTCGGACGGTATGGTGCCGGCTCGTACAGTAGCGTAAAGTATCGTACACTACCGTAATGCAAACTAAAGGATCGTACGGTATCGTACGCTACAGTACAGTAGCGTACACTTCCGTAACGGCCGTACAACGTAGTAGCCGCTTTTAGGTGCCAGACCAGGACCAGCGAAGAGTGGTCGACAGACGCAGAGGAATGAAGGAGAGCAGACGGAAGGTGGGCAGAATTTCATGACGTAACCGCTTTTAAGGTCATTCGTCTGCTCTTCGGAATCGTGCTCGCCTTTGCTGTGCTCACACTGCCAAATCACGCCCGGTTGCTCCATTCAGTGCGTTTCTGATTTCTTAATCTTAGAAAGGCAAGCTAGTAGTAATTTTTTTGAGGAATAGTGGGTTCGCGGCGCTGTCCTGACCTCTAGGGGCAGGCTAGAAAAAGTCCTTTGGTGAAATCAGGGTTTCAAGGGGCCAACTAGCAGGCATTCTTTGCGAATCACAACTTGTAGTCGTTTTAACAAAACCTGGGGGATCAGCCAGCAGCGATTTTTGAGGAAATCAGGAAGTCCAGGAGCAGGCTAGCAGAGAATTTTACGGAATCTCTCAGATTTTAATTTGCTAAAAGTTATTGAGACAAGAGTGGAGGAAATTTTCATGCAGGAATTTTTACTGTAGTTTTTAGGATTTAGCTGCAAGCTAGCAATGATTTTTGTGGCATACAGGATTTCGCAAGGCCAACGAGCAGGGATTCTTCAGAAATTTCAAGTTTTTGGGCTTTTTAAGGATTTTTGGGGAAATTAAGAGCTGCGGAGGCGAGCTAGCCCAGATTCTTGAGGAATTTCACTTTGAAAAACGATAAGACCATTTTTCAGACCTTCTCCCGGTCCCAAACTTGCCTCTGGCACTGGACAAGCCTCGTCCAACCAATGTCCTATCTTCTCCTCTTCGTCTCTTCCACCATCAACCCGATTCTCTACGCTTTTCTGTCCAAACGATTCCGCCTGGCTGCTCAGGACGTTTTGCGATGCCGGTAAGGGACTGTATACCTTGAAATAGCTGTACCTCACTTTCCCTCCTGTCCCTCCTACTGTCAACTACCGTACCCCATCCTTCCCTACCGTAACCCCGATCATCTGTCTATAGGCGCTGTCCGTTGTCGTGTCTGCTGTCGGCCGCCGGGTCCCGAACGGCTTCTAGTGATGGCCGCCTTTTTGGTGAGTCGACGCTGTCCAGTCTGGCTTTCATTGTTAAGAGCTTTTTAAGCTATTTTGGGCGGTTACTGTAGTTTAAAACACTCCAAAATGCTTTTTATAGATGGTCGTTACTTGGCAATGCAACGGGCGGGAGTGAGGAACGTTCGCGTGGACGCACCGTATTGAGCAGCTTTGATGAGACGAGGGCTCCTTCGAGGTACATGTCTAAGCGTAGGCCTAATCCTAAGCCGAAGCTTAAGCATTTGCCAAAGCCTAAGCCTAAAAGCCTAAGCCTAAACTTATGCTAAGCCTGAGCCTAAGCTACGAACCTAAGCCTAAGCCTAAGCCTGAGCCTAGGCCGAAATAAGCCAAGCCTAAGTCAACGTTCTTTTTTTCAGAGCCTCCCGCTCGCCCTCCCTATCAGCCGTCGCTCAATCCTCCGTGAACTCTGCTCGCCTGCCCCTCCTCCTCGCCACCCACTATGCCCAACAGGAGATCGAGCTCCGCCGCATGGAGCTGCATCGCCACAACGAGAGGCTAGACCGGGAGCACGAGGTGGAGAGCAGCTTGGCCGAGGAGGAGGCCACCCAGCCGAAGATTCGTTTCGATATCCCGAGGACGGAGGTCACGTTTGTGCCGTAGATTACCTTGTAAGCCGAAGCCTAAGCCTAAGCCCAAGCCCAAGCCTCTTTTCTTGCAAAATACATATTGGTCCTGTTATGGGTATTTTTCGTTTTTGAATTTCTTTAAATTTTCTGATGCTTAATAACCTTAAATTTATACGAAAATCGATACGCAAATGTATGAAAATCCGCCACAATTCCGATTTATCCCCCCAAAAGATTTGATCTCCATGCTGTGTGTACAAAAACAATCTCTCTCTCCCAATAGTACGTGTGCTCCGTGCTGTTATTTTGTGCCCTGCGGGTATTTTGTTTTGGTTGTTCATTTTTATGGAAAAAGAATAAATTAATTTACCTGGAAGATCGAGATAAAGAGACGGAGAGAGAGAGAGAGAGAGAGAGAGAGAGAGAGAGAGAAAGCGAGCGAGCAAGCGAGAGAGAGTGAGAGAGAGAGAGTGAGAGAGAAAGAGAGAGAGCGAGAGAGCGCTCAAAATATACAAAAACGTAAAGTCCAAAAATATTTATCTCCAAAAACATCCCAATCAATAGCACATGGCGCAATATCATACAGCAATATGTCGTTTATAGTCTGCAGTATGTAGTCATTAGTTGTAGTTTGTAGTTTCAGTATAAAAATGACAAAAAGTATCATAAAATCGATAGTTGTAGATAGATCGGCAATATAAAGTCAGATAGAATCCTCATTCAGAGACGGGGCATCAGATTTGCGCCTCATAAAATACTCGGGGACGATCACGCTGAGTTCGGCCCGACGTAGTGAGTGGCAGATCTAAATCAACGGGCATCATTAGGTGCATTTTGGAATTTTCAAGTGACCTGCAAGTCAACGTTTCCTTTAATGATACCCAAATAGACCGACGAGCAGGCGGAGTGCGAGGGATCATCTGCAAATAGGCGGCGGGGGCTTTGGGGGTACGGTTTGGCCGATGGGATTTGGGTTTTAAGGGGACCGGAAAGTCTCTCTCTCTTTCTCTCGCTCTCTCTCCCTCTTTCTCTCTCTCGCTCGCTCACTCTCTGGCCTTGCTGGTCCCTTTAAAGTGCAAAAATTCAAGAACTCGTGAAAGTTAAAGGTATTTAGAAGCGAAAACAAATCCTTTAGCGACAATTTTTGCTAGCCTGCCCGGTCAGGCTTTGAAATATCCGCAAAAACCTATGCGAGTTTTCCTAGGCTTGCTTAACCCTGAGCCTAAGCCCAAGCCTAAGCTTACTTTTAAACCTAGAGCTAACTCCATACTACAAACTAGGCCAAACCGTCCGCCCATCCACCCCGTCGCCCAAGAAACAATAAGCATTCACTCCAAAACAAAAACGGCACACCAACCTCTTTCTCAATTGAGAAAACCAGCTGACCTTTTATTGGCGAGACTCAAGCTATACGAAGGGGGGAGGGATAAGCATACGGTAAGCGAACACAGCCGGTTAGTATGAAGCATTTGCTAGGAATGCTGAAAGGAGGACAGAGGTGGAAATGGGAAGAGGTGGTGCTCATTTCAAAAAAGGTAGTCAAATTTTTTCCGGGGATAGCGAGAGAGACGGCAAGGGAGAGGGAGAGAGAGAGCGTGTGAGAGCGAGAGAGAGCAAGAGAGAGATACCTTTTGAGGCTGATAACCTTGTCAGCGACCGTAACGGAATGACAGCAAAAAAATGCGTTAATTTGCCTCAAACTTTAAAGGTACAGCGACAGGAAAAATGGCACACGGCAAAGCCAACACCAAAAATTATGCGATTTTTGTCCAATTTCCGACCGTTTTTGATTTTTAGTGCAATAGAGGACAAACTACAAACTATAGATCACAAAATTTCCTTCTATACAAAATTCTATTAAAAAATTACCTGTTTAATGCTCTTATCGTGGTGACCGGAGATCGTAGACGCACTGGCGGATCCATCCTGGGAATCCCGGTGCTCCCGCATGTCTTTGTTTGCCTAAAAATGGGTACGAATTGTATTTTCTAAACTACCGTAGTTTGTATCATTCGTATTTTTAGATTACTACGCTTTCCCGATTCCCCGAATTTTGCTATTCTTTATTTTCGGATTTTGGGAGTGTTTCGACCCTTCCCACGGCCATTCTGAGTTTAGAAATTTCCCGAGCCCCTCTCTCTTTCCCTCTCCCTCTCTACCCCTGTCTCTCTCTCCCTCTTTCCCCGTCTCTCTCTCTCCCCACCCTAATCCCCAGAACGTCGGCTACGTGCCGGCGTGAACTTTGCGAACTTTAAGTCCTTTCAAAATTCACGTAAATGATTTTCAAAAGTTCTGCAAATTGAGACGTCAAAGGTTAGGAAAAAACTATGGCTTCTGAGCAAATCCAGCAAAAAATTACTTTTCGAATAAGCCCGTTTGCCGCCAGCCCGACGATCATCCGGTCCACAATGTCGGTCAGGATCTAAAATTTTTCAAGTTTTCATTTTTTTTTCAGGTTTTTCAATCTATCGATCTAAAATCGATAGGTTGAAAAACTGTGTAAACTGAATTTGCATAACCCCCACGTTTTAGAGGCACAAATAAAACGCAATCCCGACAAAAAACCTTAACGCTAGATTGTGTAAAAGGAAGATTAAAAAAAATCGAAAATTCATATTTCCCACCTCCCTCCACAAAATGATTGCCGAGTCGGTCTCCCGGGAGTCCATTCCCTTCTTGTTGGTTCTAAAAAAAGGTTGAAATTCCATTTGCATCCTCAAGACATTTTAAAGGGTTAGAGAACCCAAGCAAAAGATTGGTATCGGTAGTGCTAACAGAGAAACTTTGCGGAAATGATTGCAGCAGATTAGTGAATGCGTTTTTTTATCAAAAATGACAAATGCAGCGACAGGTTTTTGGGTACGGACAGTTAGGTTTAAGCTTGAAATTGCGTTAATAATGTCGATAAAAATTTACGAATTAATGGATAGCGTATGGGTTAGCCTGCAAGTTAGTTTCAGCGTTTTAAAGGGACCGGGAAGGCAAGTTATTTCTCTCTCTTTCTCTCTCTCATCCTGCTCTCACTCTTTCTCTCTCTCTCCCTCTTTCTCTCGCACTCGCTCTCTCTCTCCCACTCTCTCTCTCCCCTATAGCTCTCTCGCGCTCTCTCGCGCTCTGTTTCTCCCGCTCTCTCTCTGGATCTCTTTTTCAAGCCTCCTTAAATTTCCTTTCTTTACACTTTACACCCACCTCGTGCTGAATTTTCGCTCTCGACCACTAAATTTTAGGTTTTTAAGCTAATTTTGGGCAAGTTAGCTTAGGCTAAGGCTAGGCTTGGACTTAGGCCGAGGCCAAGCTGAGCAGGCTTAGGAGGCGGAGGCTTAGGAGGCTGAGGAGGCAAAGGAGGCTGAGGTCTGGGCTTCAGCTTAGCTTAGGCCTAAACCTACTTTCTGTCGGCTCGGATAGCTTTGCGGAAGTGGAAGAGGGTGCACTCCTTGAAGACGCCCCAGTAGTGCGGTCTGGAATTGAATAGAAACGTTGAAGCCTCGGTCTAAGCGCAAGCTAAGGCCCAGGCTTGGAAAAGGTCTTTTCCACGATTTCTTTCTCTCTCTCTCGCCCTCTCTCTCTCTCTCTCTCTCGCCTTGCGTACCCTCGTACTCAGACGTTCAAAGACCAACTGGATGCTCTTAATTTCCGTTCTACTCCTAAGGACCCATACTACTCCTTTCTCACGCTGATCAGTGGCCCTGCTCAGGGCCCAATTCACAGACCAAGCTTCTGAACATAATATTTCCCACGTACCCAGACGGAGCATTGATCCGGGAAGTTGCAGATAAGTTTGAATTTGGATTAGTCAGAAGCTTAGGCCCAGGCTTGGGCTTGGGCTTGGGCTGAGGCTTTGGCTTAGACGAAAGCTTAGGTTTAGGCTTATAGGCTGAAGCTCGGGATCACCTAAATCCGAGTTGCTCCTCGTGCCGCGCGTGCAGCTTTCCCAAGTTGAGCAACAACCCGTCGAGCTCCTCTGGTGTCTCCAGGTACAGGATCGTGCTCTCGATTATCTGAAAAATTCTGCAAAATAGGAATGGGATCAGAGTTGTCTGCCCCAGCTATTTTTACGCATTTCTGCTTCCGGTCGCGCTTCCGGTCTCAACTGCGGTCAGAATGCGGTGAAATCCGGGAATTTCGTTACTGTAAGGAGGTGTACGATGTAATCACTTGATCTTTATCTCTCTCCTCGCTCGCTCTCTCTCTCTCTCTCTCTCTCTCTTTCTCTCTCTCTCCCCGTTTACC